GCTGTCTTTTTATGCCTGGGGGTCACGGCGTCTTTTTTTCTTTGGGCACTTTTGACATTAAGTCTCTTCTGCATACTTGGTGCTAAAGTGGTGCCTCTTTCCTTCTATCAGAAACATGTGAGAACGTGGACTGTGGACCTGGGAAGAAATGTAAAATGAACAAGAAGAACAAACCTCGGTGTGTTTGTGCTCCGGATTGCTCTAATATCACTTGGAAGGGCCCTGTGTGTGGCTTAGATGGGAAAACCTACAGGAACGAGTGTGCCCTTCTCAAAGCCAGATGTAAAGAACAGCCCGAACTTGAAGTCCAATATCAGGGCAAGTGCAAAAGTAGGTTTGCAAATCTCATCCAGTCTCCATCAAATGGCATAGGGTGTGTGTCTGAGTGTAGAGAGGAGGAGCTGACATACTTCTCCACAGTAACCAGAGTGATGTTCCAACCACGCTCACAGACAGGATGTGGGTGGATTGATTGGGAGTTATCCATAGTTTAGCAGAACTTGTGTCCCTCATGCTACTCTGAGATGGAAAGGTCTCCAGCAGCCCTTAAATGAGGACCGCTGCTGAAGGCTTTTGTCTGATTGTTTGTGTCATTCTGTCACCCATTCACTCCTCCCTGGAGTGCTCAAATCTTCTACTAATCATTTTTTGTTTCCATCTTTATTTCAGAGACCTGTAGGGATGTTTTATGCCCAGGCAGCTCCACGTGTGTGGTGGATCAAACTAATAACGCCTATTGTGTGACATGCAATCGAATTTGCCCTGAGCCTACTTCCCCTGAGCAGTATCTCTGTGGGAATGATGGCATAACTTATGCCAGTGCCTGCCACCTGAGAAAAGCGACCTGCCTGCTGGGCAGATCCATTGGATTAGCCTACGAGGGAAAATGCATCAGTAGGTATCTTGGTTGGAGGGATAAGTGTATGGGGAGCTTGCAGACTCATCTGTTTCGTCATGTTGTGTGGAAGTGGATGGATGGATGGATGGATGGATGGATGGATGGATGGATGAGTGGAAGGGGGAGAGTGGAAGGAAAGGAGAGAGAGACAGAGTAAGTTTGTGTTTTGGAGCAGGTAAGAATCCCAGCAGCCTCGTTTTTTTTTCCCCTCCAGGAGAAAGCAAAGCCAGAATGAGCTTTGCTCTGGGGAAAAAGAAAAAAAAAAAAGAAAAAAGAAAAAGAAAAAAAAACCTGCAAAAGGGAGTAGAGGGCTTGATCCTGCTTCTCTTGCTGTCGGCGTGGGTGCTGACATTAGCGTCTAAGAGAGAAGTACCCACCATTAGGTAGATGATGACATGGTTACGGCATAACAAGGTCATGATGTTCAGTGGATCTGGATTCCTGGAAATAATTGTCTTCAAGTGGTCTTAACAAAGCTTGCATTAATGTAATTGGAAACATCTGATTACTTTTCCTCTTCAAAAATATTAGAGTTTGGGGACAGTTAATGGGTAATACAGGAAAATAACCTCTGTGCATCCTGACATTTTGCACTGTGATTTTGAGAAAGAAGAGATAGTGAAGTATGTTGAAAGGAAGCAACATTAGGGCAACTTCTGCCCCTCCAAATTGCTGGTGAGATGCTGGGGAATCTCAGGTTGCTTTTGGTTGGCACAGTCTGAGGTGAATTCCCTTTCCAGTCTTGTAGACAGCAGCTTTGTGTGGGTTACTTTAAAAATAATTGATCTGGAAATGCTGAATGCGTTGACAATTCTCCACTTATCACTAATTTGGTGAGCTGAATTTCCGCTGACAGCAAATGGAACAGGAAGGCCATGTGAAATAGGCAAACATAATTCCGTACTGCTAGGACCAAGCTCCACTGGCACAGCTGTCCTTCAGCCCTGGCTGAATGTGTCCATGGATCTGCTTGATTAAGACGGGCAAGAATTAACCCAGCTACTGCATTTTAGCTTTGTTTATTCCTAGTTCACTGAGGGAAAAGGAGTTTGGGGCTGGTAGGAATTGCTTTTCTTTGTTTTCTTTGTCTGTTCACTTACCTCTAGTATTCTGTGTGTATTTTTAGAAGCGAAGTCCTGTGAAGATATTCAGTGCAGTGCTGGGAAGAAATGCTTGTGGGATTTTAAGGTTGGCAGAGGTCGATGTGCCCTCTGTGATGAGCTCTGCCCTGAAAGCAAGTCAGACGAGGCAGTCTGTGCCAGTGATAACACGACTTATCCGAGCGAGTGTGCCATGAAAGAGGCAGCCTGCTCCATGGGCGTGCTTCTAGAAGTAAAGCACTCTGGATCTTGCAACTGTAAGTGAGATTTTTATCTCTGCAGACACCTAAGGCTTCTGAAGGCAATCCCTATTTAATAAAGACTTACATCGTTAAACCCAAGAAAGCTCGATTTAGAGATTCAAGATAAGGCACATGTGCCATGTGAGTACGGGTGTATCGTGCGCACACTTTGGTTACTGATAAAAAACAGTAGATCTCCAACAACCAGTGTGCTTTCAAGTTGGGGTGTTGGGTCTTTACTGAGGATAAGTCATTTTATCAGAAAGGGGTTGCCCTAGGAGCATAATTCTAGAGATTTTTTCCTAATTTGTCTGCTCTCATGTGCTTCGCTGATTGCTTTATTAACACTCGGTAAACTCTTAACTGTCCAAAAGAATGAGCCTGGTGGTAGCACATGGGCACCTGGTTTAGCACAGTTGCATCTACTAACTCTGAATGAAGGACAAAAAGTAGTTAAACCTAGAACACAAGAGCGCTTTTTATTTGATTTCAGGAATCTGCCAATAAAACCTGAGCCATTGATTCTTCAGAACTTTCTGCAGTTATGACTTCATAGATTATGTATAAAAACCCTTATTGCATAACAGCAGATGCCAAAGAGCATCTCACTACAAGTCGCATAAAATGCAACGCTGTATTATGGCTGTTCAGAGGGCTTTGAAAACATGCACTGAGCTGCTTCTGCGCTGTTGTTGTCCTTATTTAAACAACAGCTCCCCTGTATTCCCCCATCTAGCCATTAATGAAGACCCAGAGGAAGAAGAGGAAGATGAAGACCAGGACTACAGCTTTCCTATATCTTCCATTCTAGAGTGGTAAAACTTCCATCACTATTGGGACAGCCATTGGGCACAAAATCAATGTCCATACTGTAAATAAGTGTATGCTTATTTATTTTGGGGAGAAAAAAAAAAAAAAGTATACATATAGTTGAGTCTCGTAGACATTTATTTATACTGTGTCATGTTTTATAATTTATACATAAAATGTCTGGTTGACTGTACACCTTGTTTTTTGAAGAAGTTTATTCGTTACGGGAAGAGCAGTGTTATTTATTGTGAGGTCTCTTGCTTGTAAAGTAAAGCTTTTCTTTTTTCTTGTGAACTATGAAAGTCCATTCCTTAAAACTTACCTAAAAAGATGGTTTCATCTTTTTGTTTTATTGGGGTTATCTTTTTTCCACTTTAAAAAACTTGCATGTTGGTTTCTGTTATGTTTATTTATTGGATTTTCTTCTTGCCGGTTCTGTACATAAAAGATCCCTCGGGTTTTTGTTTACAAGGAATCTTGACTGACCAAAAGGCGTTGTAACTGACTTAAATATACTTCTAGGGTGCAGCGAGGCGATCTTTAAGGAAACTTCTCCCACTTTTCTTTTCTCTGCTTCTGATCACATCATGTCCTGATGTGATCTCAATGTGCTCAGCATATATACTGTACCATAAGAATTCCAGACCCAAAGAAATGGGATTATGAAGGTTGTTAATAGCTACAGGGCTCACTGTAATAAGAATAAGGGTTTTATTTTATTTTTATTCTCTTTTGTAAAATGCGTGTTTATCAGGTGTTTCCTTTAAGATGGTCTTGCAGTACAACCTTCAAAGTTTTGTTTTCCCAATCAGCGTGTCACTAAAAGTTATATCAAAGCTTTATCAGTTCAAGTTTCTTGCTTTTCATAATACTTTTTTTTTTTCTGATGCAATTTTATATTTTCAAACATGGCGAGTTAAATATAAATTCATTTAAATATATAGTTTTGTACTTTTCTACCATGTAAATGTGCAATGTATATAAAAGTTATAATGTGTATTTGTAAATAAATGATGAGTGAAAAAATAAAAAATGGAATTTTCCCTAGATGCAGTCTTCAGCTTTATCTTCTAAAGGGTTCTGGTGCAAAGAGGATCTACCAATAGTAGGGGAATGGAAGCTGGTGCCTAATGTAGCATTGACTAAGGCAATCTAAGTAAGCTTTCCAGTTACTTAGATTCATGAAACCCCATTTTTCAGACAGAAGCAACATCTCCTGTCTGTTGATACTGCTTCATTTTTAATCCAAGTACTCTGATGGAGAGGAGGAGGTTCAGCATTTTTGTTTCCCTCCCCATCCTGAGAATAAAATATCTGTTGCTTCTTGGACATCTTTAATTTGTGCATCTCTAGGAGGTTTTGAACAGACGCTTGAAATTTTCCTAAGATTCAGATCCATGTTAAGGGGCTTAAAGTTGTATAATCATTTTAGATGACTAGGCAAATGATGGCCTAGTTGCCCAAATTCAAGATCTGTAACAACTACTACAGACAAAAAAAAAAAAAAAAAAAAGGGTACATCAAAGAGCACATTATCTATTGGAAATTTATCACTCTTGAGAGGAAGGTCAATTCAGAAATTATGTTTAGTGAACCAGTATTCAGATTGGAGGAACTGTTAAAAGTGGATATGGCTGCAGTGAACTCAGAGGAAAGGTAGCCATAAGCACAGCAGGGATCAAAATCTTTTTGTATGTTCCCAAAGTTAGAGTTTTCTCTCAAACAAGGCTCCACTTATCAAAATTTCTCTTATCATGCTGCACAGAACTTAAGAAGGTACTTAAGCACCATAGTAAGTAGTGTTTAAGCACTTTGCTGAGTTGAGGTTTGAAGCAGAAATTCACTTACTCGTTTTGTTTGAATATAAATCATGTTCCTGCTATAGTCTTCTGTGTATTTTTCACTACATGGTAAACTGTTGTTTGTTATGGGTTGTTTAGCATTACCTAAAGCAAATATAATTTATTCATCTGTGAAGACTACAGACATGCATTCATAATATTATATTCAAAATGATAGCAAAAAAAAATTCTGCCCTTCCTCTTCCTGTTGCTTCATTTAGATGAGTAGTCTCTTTGCAAGGAAGAGCATGATGCGAGGAGCAAAGTGAGCAGGATTTTAGTCTCCTGAGGGCAATGGAACCCAGAATAAAAGAGAACGGAGGTTGGGAGAACAGAGGGATAGAAACAGACCCTATCTGAGAATCTCTTGGGGAACTAATGAACTCATGACAGTGAAATAGAGATGAAATGCTTAATAGATGTGGTGAGTATCAGAAGATATTTTTCTCAAATTCAAACAGGTGCCAGCTACTTCATTTCAAAAAAAAAAAAAAAAAAGGCAACATTAAAACACTGCTTATAATTGTAAATAAATTTACATGTCTTAAAGAAAGACTGCAGCAGAGCAGGATTTCTGAGTTGCAATTTTATGCCTTGCTTCATAAAATAACTGGGAGAAAGTCACTGATAGAAGAATTCAGAAATGCATCAAGAATGCTATGAAGCTATCTTTGCACACATGTATATATACTAAACAGACACAAAAAATCCGTATAAGGATTATGCTGATAATCTGCTACAGTTCTGCTACAACATTTTCCATTGCTGCTGCTGTTTTTATACAGCGGAAATCTCAATACCTACCGGCAGCAAGCCTGCCTGCACTGTACTGGTGAGGTCCCTCTTGAGAGGCTTCACCAGGCAAGCATCTTTGAAGCGCGCCTAACAGGCACCAACCTCAGCATAGCAGCCCAGAGACTTATCCTAGAAACATATCCAGGGGTTATGGCAGCACAACTGCCAGTGCTTTGCCTAACATCATTCTTGGAGTTAAGGTGCTTGCTGATGAAGCGGGAGATGCAGGTTGATTACCTGTCTTCCTGGGGAGAGCGTTCCCACATTCACCATCAGCTCAGGGAGAAGCTCAGAGAACTGTCTGTCATGCCTCCTGAAGCCATACTTCTCTGTCCGAGAGGAAGCAAGATTCATTGAGAGAGGATAATTTGCAACCCTAATGGGTGCTCCTTTTGAAGAGGAAGTCTTGGGTTCTCGCCCCAGGGGTTGCCTACACATTTTGCATTTGTAATTGAGTAACCTACATAAATAATGCTTGAAGCAGAGGCTAGAATCCAGGTTGCCTCCCCTTTTTCTTCCCCCAGTATGTAAGTGCCTCCATCCTTGAGCTATGAAATCATGCTTAATCCTCTGCTTAAATCAAGATTACAAATCTCACATCTCTTTCTACACACTGAGTCATAGCTACAACAGGAGAGGCTTTACTTTTGTCTTCCTTCGCTTCCAGAATTGTATGTAGGGAACTTCCTGGGTGTGGAAATCTGATCTTGATTCCTTCAGTCCTAGTAAGGTGCTGAATCTTTGTTTCCAGTTCCTGTCTTTTTTTTTTTTTTTCTTTTTTTTTTTAACGGATGCATGAATGTGATTTCTTGCTCTGAAGCCAGTTGCATAAGCTTCTAAATCCAGAAGAGAAATAAATGTTCAGAAATATCCTTCTCTTCAGTGTTTTCTATCAGATGGCACATGTATTCTCCTTACTGTAGATCACATTTCTAAAAACCCTCATTCACCATGGCATGTACTTGGATACTGAATACCAGGCCTGTGAACTCCATTCATAAATGCAGGCATTTAAACATCAGGCCCAGAAACATGAAGTGGAGCTTGTATGTTTGAAAACAGAAACCCATATTCTGGTACTTAAATAAAATCAGCTCAATTCCAAGAGACTCAGCTTGAGGCATTTGAATGGTAAGAATATTGCTCCTAAAGCCTTGGATCCCAAATGTATTTGTCCATGCAATACATACAAGTGAGCACTGACAATTTTGATCACACTCAAAAGCATTCCTGATAGCTAAGTCCACCTGATACACTTAAGAGTAATATAATGAAACTCTTTTGCACCTTTTACCTCTTTCCTTGCTTTCTGCCTTCTAATGCATTTCACTAAAACTACATTCCAAGCCCCACAGCAAATTTCAAACAGCTGCCTTTTTTTTTCTTTTTTTCTTTTTTTTTTTTATGACATAAAAATGTTTCCTTCTTTCCCTCCAAATGGGAATCAGGTGAAATTAAATTTCAGTACACTGTACTGTTCTCTAGGCAGTGACATTTTACTATACAATGAATCACCAGCACAGAAACATCTGTATATTATCCCTTTGAAGAATGAGGATTCCATGCTTTCTGGTGAAGCAAAGCATTTGCACATAGACCAAGAAGTTCACAAAGTATCAGATTTTAAATTCATAAGTCCCTAGTGATAGGGCAATTACATTTTTTTGTTTGATATTACTACAATTTGAAGGCATGTCAGACTCAATATGGTACCATGAGTCTTGGAGGTATATGAAAATTTGTTAACTCACAATTTAACACTTTATATTTGTTTGCTTTTCTGATAGACTTAAATAGATAATGGCCATTAATGGATGGTTTTTGCTGATATTCATTTGGGATTATCTGTATAATTCATCTTCATTAGAACTAGGTAATGTAGCCAAAGAAATTATCCATACAGCGGAGAAATATGGTGTGCAAGCAAGGTGAGAACTATCATGTACAGAGACTGATTTGGAATTAAAACTACATGTATGGCTCATTTTCTGCTTATTTATTGATACTTTATTTTGATCTCTTAAATTTTAAATGCATTTGTTCAACTTTGCCATGGGATTGAAGAACACTGATGTATCAGAAAACTGAGAAGGGTCTTCACACTTTGATAACCACTCATCAGGTTTTTCAGATGCAGTTACTGGATAATAAGTTTACCAAGGTGGTTCAGTGTAGATCTGAATGTATAAAGGCCCCTGAATTTCTACCTGTGCCAAACAATAGCAGCATGAGAGCCCCCCAGCGCTTCCAGAGAGGTCGATGGATACTCAGAACTCCCCAGAATTCAAATCATTGCATTCACATTCAAGAGCTAAATTCTACTCACCTGGACCTAAAGACTGCTTTATTTTGAAATTAATCTTGGAACAATTCTTTACGGCATGCTAGTGGTTCACAACAAATGCAGTTTATTTTTCTTTTTTTAAATCAATATTATCCTCGACAGCATGTTTTTATGAAAAAAATACCACTTTTCAGAAGTTTCAATATATTTCCGAATCATTTAGCAGTTTGGAATGGTGCCATTCCAGTAACACAGTTCCTATGAATCTTCTTCTGTATATCATGTTTTTTACCTTTTCTTTAAGATTCAAGCACTTCTAATTTTAAGAGACACCTAAAGGACAAGGATGATGTTGATCTATGCCCTTTGTTAGAAATTCATATGTGATACAAGTATGCTCTACTACTTGATTTTTTATTTAGAGGCATTGCTATGAAATCATAGAGCAATTCATATAAATAAAGCAGATAGTTATACAAGTCCTTAAACAACATAGAAAAAAGTAACACATGACAAGAGAAACCAGCAGAGGCCCACTGGACTGTTCAGACTGTTCACTTAACCATACAGTCTGAACAGGGCTGCTTCTTCCCAGAGAGGGAAAGATTTGGGAGCAATATTCTATCTCCAAGAAGGTCATTGAGAAGGTAGAGCCAAGATGGAGCGGTGCATGGTGGCAGGACAAGAGACAGCTGGCATGAGATGAAACAAGAGAAGATCATACTAACTATAAAGGAAGCCTCCTTCCCTTTGAGGAGAATCGAGCAGATGACCTCCTGACATTCCTTCCAACCTGAATTATTGTATGATCCTGTGCAGAATTAAGTCCATTTATTTTTAAGAATCACAGGCTTCAAAACCAGGATGGAATGTCCAGTTTAAAGAAAAAAAAAACAACACAATTCCTTGAGGAAACATCCATGGAACCATATCACCACAGCTGTTGGAAGCAATTGTCAGGAGGAACATAGGCTATTCCTTCTTTAATATGTCTTTCCTTTACATGATCCTTAAGTGATCCTAAAATTTCTCATAAATGCTATTTTCCCATTGATTTTACTGAAACTTTTTGCTGCGCAATGAAGG